ATCACATCTTATCTCCAGACCAAGATTTGGCTACAAATGTTAGCACGCATTCAATGCGACCCAGACATGGAAGCCATGGACAAAGCAAGATCTCAATATCGCAAATATTCCTCAAACTCGAGCCGGCAAATTTGGCAAAGGACAATACCAGTAAAACTTGTAACATTGAATGAGTATACCGGGTTTCTTCCCTGGTCAATGTTAGCATTTAATTATGATGGTTTGCCAGGTTTTAGGCAAACATTTTCACTCTTGCTATTATATGGTGAAGCTCAAGCATCACATCAGAGAGGGACGTCATCGTTACCAAATGGCAAAGCGATACAGCCGGCTGCATTGTCTATGAAATATCTCCTTACTGTGTGTTTGCAACGTATGTCACACCCACACAGAGACTGTCAATTCAGACACTAATTTAGCTGGGTTAATAGATTGTGTCCACATTTCGCTGGCTGCATTAGACCACTCGAACAACAAACACGTTCCGAAAACCAAAACGCATCAACACTCATCCGTTTTGTTGGGAAAGCCAGACAATAATTTGACTGGAAACTTTTACTGTTCACAATTATCCAGTTTATTGCTGGTATTCTTATATTTTTAACTCCCACACCCAACGTCCTGCGGAAATTTTTAGGCTTTTACTATTTTATACACAATACGGAGAAGACCAATACAAATCACTACGTCGAAATAATTAGATGTGAGATGTCGGATCTGGTTCAGAACAAAAACACCTCAAGTTAGCCTACAAAACGATTGGCTTACAAGATTAACCGCAACAGACGGTCAGGCACAGGTAGGTTAGCATGTGAGACAAAGCGGTACTGATCATTGTATCTTGCAAACGTGTCCTCATTTGTTCAGCACACCTTTTAGTGTGATTTGCTGTTATTGTGCAAGGACAATCGCGGTCAGCTAGTGAGAATGGATGAAAAGGTTAAGAGTTCCAGATTGAAACTTTCTCCGTATCTTCAAGATAGATAGAAAAATTCACTTGATCATAAACAAGTTTGTGCTTAAGCAAGATGTACGTGTGTACACTGTTTTGCTCAACGGATACTGGTCAACCGGTCGTTGCCTTAGGTGTTGGTCAATAATTACTGCGGTTTGCGCATTCACACTGAAGAGTACCCAAAAAGTGCATATTGGTGAATTAGTCGATTTGTGTATGGCAGTCAAGAATCATCCAAAGTAAAGATTTTTACCTTATTCCTTGAACTATATTTCTGAGAACAAAACCATTCAAGTACATCCAGGAGCGAATACTTCTGGGCTAGACCTGAAGTTAGCAGTTATTGAGGAGTAATCATCCTTGAATCAATACTTCCTCCTTAATTCTTAATTCTGAGGAAACTTTCGACATGATATCAAGGAAAATGTTCTGGGGCAGGCGACATGTAAAGCAGAGTATTTAGACAAATAATTTCGATTTTTGTGACGCAGTACTTACAACCTATGGAATCCTGAAACAATTTACGTTTAGTATCTTTGTGTACCGACTTTGGGAGAAGTGCTTACACTTACCTCATCGGTACATGAATAGTTTCGTTTATTGAGGATACCTGCAACAAGCCATAAATTCGGTAGTTCACTATCATGGTAGCGGGTTTTGAGAAGAAAAGCAGCGTAAAGTTCTTTTAAGATACCCGTACACATAAAATCCTTTCATTCACTGAAACGTGCCAATTATTGGGGATATAATTTTGAAGGAATGAAGGAATTAGCTGTAATCGCCTCCTGAACGTATTACCTTGCTGATACGCCTGGTGCTGCAAGGCGACGGCGTTCACGGACATGTCGCACTTTGCCACTGATCCTATTGATTTCAAGCAAATATAATGTACCAATTTGCCAAATGTATAAAAATCTAAATGGGAACAAATCAGCGTGTACCATTAAGTCCAGTACATTTCCTGAGTCCATGACTCAGTAGTATGTGTTCCTGAACTGTATGCGATCCAAGACTATCAGTGACACGCAGTTTTGATCATAAATGTTTCCCGAACTTAACCATACTTTTCAATCCATCAGCTGGCCATTTTCCTGTCAAAAACGATTATTATATCGCTTAGAATAAAAAAGCGTCCAGCGCATCGAATTTCAGCAGCTGTTTTATTATGATTCGAAGAAGCATTGAATCATGTTTTATTCGCCATAGTCAAGTCCAGTCAAAATAAGCTTTATGAACACAAATGGGTTCATTTTCAGCATGCACACCACCACTGCGGGCACCTGGATGATAATAACAATATATATACTTGGGTAAAAAAGTGGGAAAAAACGGTAATGTTACTGCAACAACTGCTCGCGCAGAATGTTAGTGATTTTTGTTGTGTCAACAAGCAAAAGTGAGATACAAGCAAAGCAATATTACGATAAGATGGCATGCAGGAGAATGAAATTCTAAATTTCCTAGGGGTAGAGGAGAAAGAGAGCGTTTTGTATAGATCATTGTGAAGTAGATAAAATCGATTAGTTAGTATCTTAGAAGAAAAATATTGCAGGCAATAAGGTGTCTAGAAATGATCAAATCTACTAAAGAATCTCTAGACAAGCCGCTGCACCTAGAAATGTGCCTTAGGGATCGCACCAACAAGATGTAGGGAAAATGACAGGGGAGAAGTATATCTAAAGGGAAATAAAACCAGAGGTTATAAACCTGAATATTAAAGTACAAGGTATCCATTCGCTTCGACGTAAATCATTATATTCCTTATGTCACGGATAACCTGACTTCGAGGTCAAACGGGTAGCTTCTACGGCGCCTTCAACTATCCGACCGAACTAGCCTGAATACGCACCAAAACGAGGCAACGTATCTGCGCCTCTTGTTTAGAGCACCATTTTAGTACCAAGCCAAGTTTGCGCAACGTTGACCTGCGTGCATCACTTGCGGCCTAGCCTCAGACATCTCCAAAACTCACCTACAAAAGAAGTTTGACTATACTTCAGGCAAATACCCGGTTCTCTAAGCGCACGCGTCTCCCTTCCCTCAGGGACTGTGCGTACTCTAATGGATATCTCAGACACCTCCATTGTACAGTAAGCGCGAGCGACACACTGTACACCGGCAGAGCTTCGTTTAGTAAAGTCTCAATTGCCGTCAATTTGAGTTGGACCACGCTAGTCTCACCCAAGTCTCAAAGTTTCCCTACTCACCCCCGACGGCGTGAGTATTCTGCGCGTAAATGTGTTCAGTCTCTACATTATACCGAATTCTATTGGCTAGTGGCCTCTGCTCACGCAGTGCTACGTGAACGCAAGTGCGATGATTATCGGATGATAGGGTTTGCGTTAAGGAGGAAAGCTGCTGCATTAAGAATGATGGCTTCTGCACTAAGGGTGATGACTACTGCACTAAGAATGATAGCTTCCGCAATAAGGATGTAAACGATTGCGTTAAGGTTGTTAGCAAGTGAGAAATAGTATATTTTACACCGATATGATACCTTGCAGTTTTAGTTATAATTCTAAAGTTGCAAATATAAAAATTTAAAGGTACACGCGACTTTCAATGCTCATGTGTTAGCGGTGCGCTGAATTTCAGCTAGTGTCATCTAGAATCAGCCTGCTACTCCTTCAGACATCTGTCCATTTTCTTAAATCGGTGGTAGGTATTTTGTTTCTGCTGGATAACGATGAGAATCCGGCCATCTCTGGCGGCGTACACTCTTCTTTGGCTACTGGATAGATGCACTCCCCGTAAAGCGATAATGCTGCTAACCAACCTTCATAACTGCTTAAAAACATAATTTCTTTTTAGCTCTGCCGAATCCCACATCCTTAAAGCATAGAAGTCTGGTTAGCAACTCTAGAGTGTTTATCCCGGCGGACATTCCAGAGTCTCTGGTTTTGCGTGACTGCTATCCACAGTTGAGGTGATGCAATAGTTTCAAATCGAATCGTGGATTGCAGTGGTTTCGGGCTGACAATATTCAGTTTCATCACTCACGGTCACACTGATCAATTTGGCCACGATACGCTTCAATGCAAATTGCAGTCAGCATTTAGAATGCGCGTTGCAACCCACTCATACATCAAGTGCTTCAACTGATCCCCTCAATCAAACATTACATGTTGTGCCACGCTCTGCTTTTTGTTTTCCAGCGGCTTAAGCGTACTGCACTCTGCTGGAGTCTCAAAGACCCAGTTGGTAGAATACTGACTCCAAACGGGTTATGATGCTCAGTGTTTTCAGACGGGAAACCTTTTCACCCTAAGTTTCTCAGCTACGGTCCCAGTAATTAGATGAATTAAGGTTAAATGTCAATCACGGTGTACATTATTTGATTTTCCAGTGTTTCACCAATGGTCAGATTTATGTGAATTTCTCTTCTTGATTTATACCGCGTCAACCTGATCCTTACTACAGGTTAAATGTCAAAGTACCAATCGAAACGGACGCCGGAATTCGGCCAATATCTAATGAAAACACATTGATGATTTGCAACTCTACGAGCTGTGCTCAATTTTGAGCATTGCATAGAAAAACCATACTTTCGTACTGTGTATTTGCCATGCTACGAAATGGATGGTTAAAAATGCCAACGCTGATAGCAGGTACAAACTAAAAGAACAATCAGCACAGACGTTCGATGCCGCTGCATCTTTGATGCTTCGTGAGCTCCACTTCTTTTCTAAGGCAATGCTACTTGGCCAAACAGTAACTCCACTGTAAATGAAGTTGCAGATATCTGATACTGTTACTGTTATTGTGCAGGGCTAATCTATGATTTACCTAAATAAATATCAGACGCACTAAGCCTGGTGTGCTAATAATGTTCACATGCACGTCCTGCGTGAAAGATATCGTTAAGCACAGACAAGCTACATCTCAGACAGCCACAGGTGGCTCCAATCAGTGCTTATCTTTGCGGTCTGTACCGTGATTGGTCGGTATTTGTCCCATTTTATACAGCATGATACAGAAACCTTAAAATCGCGGTTCCGTCAGTCTGAAGAGACAGGCGCATCAACATCATTGCACTGTTATCCAGATGTTGAAAGCATTTATTTTGTGCATCATAATCTGTTTGCTCGATGTCAGCTGCAGTGAGTTTATAAATTCATTCTGACAAGTCTCATATAGTCATCCTTAACCACGTTTCGTAACTCATTAGCAGTAGGTGTTGCACATAAATTTGTTTGCAATACAAAAGAAGGAAGAAAAGTGTATACGCGTTTCGCTTTAAGAAGCATGTATTATGATTGTGATTACTTATCAAATTTTAAATGTTTTGCCACAAACCCATTATACACTATTCCACCAGCTCAATTGATGCTTTTAAGGCAGTTTCATTTGTTACTGGTTCTAAACATATTTTTGCGTTGCGTTTTATCACTTGAAAATATAGTCAGGCGGCAAATCACGAGTCGGTTTCCTAATTTTTTGAATTATGTCATCACATGCAGAGGCAAACTACCCTTACTTCGGAAATGTATCACCTCACGTGAAAGGAATTAATGAGAGCTTTATGTTTTACCCGGCCATTTTAAATCAAAAGTTGAGACTGATGCTTTCATTTAGGCCGTTTTCTTAGCTTTTCAATTATTTTTCTATATTTAATTACGATGAAGATTAAGAAGTGTGCTCGTAAATTATACTTGTTATCACCGAACTGTTGTGGTGCGCAACAGAATACTGTAGCTTAGTATGCATTTATTTGTATAAATATTTCTTTGTGTGTTATAGATATACATATGATTTGATAGCTATGCGCGTTTTTATGTATCTACATGAGCTTAACGATGTCTTATCTATTCTTTAAGGCTTCGTCTCTGTTACGGTTGCCAAGAACCGGACGCCGAGAATTAACATTATGAATCAAAGTTCCAGAACAAATATGGCTTTACATTGTTGTATTCAAGTTAGTATTCCGAATATGCATATTAATTTATGTATATTAGTTATCTCTTTCCGTGCAGAAGGTGTGTTGGTACACTCTCGTAATCTTATTAACATTTCTATTGGTTTACGGATTTTGTTAGTGCCATCAAGTAATCCATACGCCTTAATAGACCCATTGTAGCCACATAGGATTTATCATAATGTCTTCGTTTACTATGATATTATCAATCCCAAATGGTGCTATTGTCTCGTTAAGCGTGCTTTTTTCAATATCTCTTCGGACGGACGTTGCAGATTGCATAGATGGTTTTATGACGCCGAATCGAGGGAATTGACATGCGTGTGCATAGAGAATGCTTCGACCAAAGCAAGCGGAATGTTGTTACAAGGATTGGATGGTTCAAGAGCGATTCCCTCGATTTCTGCCACCAACTTTATAGAAAGTGAGTTAGAAGTGTATACCTATGTAATACCTTATCTGTTCTATCTGGCGAACGCATCGTCTGGGCAAAAGAAGTCCACCTAATAGGTTCCATTTGCACAGCAGGCATTTGGATCCACCTCTGAAGTTGTTCAGTAAAATAAAAGTATTGGCACAAATAACAAATAATTTTTACTTTTAGATCAAGATCTTAAACAAGGGCAGTATGGTAAGTGCAAATAAGTGCTATTTAAATTTTATACAATCGGATTATGAGTAGTTACGCTAACTAGTTCGGCGCACGCGCTGTTCATTTGATTTATGTTAGTTGCGCATGTTTAAATATCCATAAGAAATTGCTTCATTATTTTCAGCACACCACCTATTTGCGCAGCTACTGGGTGGAACTAGGGCGATGGTTTCCCAAACAAGTCAACGACCTTTATATATCTAGTTTCTTACGAAATTTTGATCAGTATGTAACTGATGTATTAGATTCATACAACAATTAACTAACTCTCCAATTTATTACAACCTATTAATTTGTACACCGCACATTTGCGTACTGTGTACTGGATAAATGGTCAAAATGCTAAGTTATATGTTCTCATTATTGGCGCGGGTACACAGCTCAGAATGTTTTGAGCAGACACATTAAAGCATGTGCATTTAATTCACTTTGACACACGTTCACTGCAACAAACTGGTTCCGAACGTCGAATTGTAACGTAACTCTTAAGCTGCCTGAGTAAGGTTACACTCATTGTGCTTATCTGAATCTCGCTCGTGGAAGTATGTTGCAGTAAAACTCGCCACGTTTTATGTTCACGATTCTCCTTAGGGTACTTTGGCTGATAGATTTAAGTCGTGGCTCAATAATTTTGCATGATCTCATCAGGTAGAGATAGCCTGCATCAGTTGAACGCATTGAGCAAGAATGACCTAAGTTTGGTAGTTCGTCCAGCATGCTCAGTCCGTCAAACCATGCAAATATTGCAGTAGGTGCGTCGGAATCGGCTCTGCTCCTAGTCTCCTTGCATTTTGCAGCATTTGAACTGAAAATCCGGACAAAATCGGATCCAACGAAAATCGTGCAAAACCTTGTGAGTGCAGCTATACCGTACTTTAAAGGTTGACAAAACAGGCAAATATGATAACCTTAGAGCCATACCATTTTTGTCGACCGTACGTTGAGAAACAGGTTTATTTCCGATATTGCTTTAGATATTTGCACCACTCGACTTCTTTGCTTCTGGTCACACACATGTTGTAATGTGGGATTGCACCGCCTTCACACTGCCCAGTATTTCTGTGGTATTTGTTGCGCCGATTTTCTACATAACACTATTGTACGTTTCGCAAATTGTTTTGCCTCATCGCGTGCCAATTCACCAATACGAATACATTGATATATTAATGCCTTATATCATATCTTCAATACAGTTCTCCGACGTCGCCAAAAGTAACGGTGCAGTGGTAATCACGGGATGCTATCCAATACCAGACGGTTCTAATTCATATAACTGCTCTACAGTATACAACAACAAGTACAGCGTTACTTGGGAATTTCCTGAAAATTGGAGTGGTCCAGCGCGGTTTCTTAAAAACATTGTTTATGAATCGGGAAAGATTGACTTTGAAATTGTTGGATTACATTGGTCGAGGAAGTTGCGTAAGTATTTGTTGTTACATAACTCACTTCGTTTCACTGATGCTAAGCCCAAATAAAATATAAGATTTGCTTTCAAAGATTTACTGTCGATTAACCACAAATTTAGCAACCAGGGGAAATAAACTCGTGACACAGCAGAAAAACAGTTAACGATTTCTGGTTTGAAATCTACAATCTGCTCCTGATGACATCAAAGGAGGTAAAAACTCGCGGCGGTGTGCAGTGCTTTCAGGCGGGAACAACTTATTCCATTCCGCTTCATTGACTACGGTCCCGGTGATCAAATTGTCCAAGGTGCACTTCAATGTGGAGCTCCGTTTACATTGAGATTGCGTGCACAATCCATCTACAAACAAGTAATCCAAATTGATCCTGCAGCCACTCCGGCCTTATTCGAGAGACTCTAGCCACACCAATTTCCAAAGAACCTACTGAACGATTGAGTAAAACCGCTTCAACCGAGTGGAACAATAGCATACTAACAGACAATCATGAATGCAAATAATTTCCCTTCCTTAAAATTATCAATATATGGAGATTAAGTTCCTCATCCTTCTTGCTTCGTTTAACAGCGAATGATTCCAAAAGGCTTTGTGAGTTGCAATGTTTATGTTGTTTACTGAAGTAATTTTACCTGATAACGACTGAGGTTGTTTCTAACTAGTTCATTTGCATCTTAGGACTGCAAGAACATAAATATTTAAATCCATGTCTTGAAGGATAATATGTGTTAACCACTAATTGCGATTTTAACTAATTCCTCCCTGCTTTAATTTGCTGAATAGTATTCAGCATGGTATATAACTTTATCTTCCTTCCAAAGATGTGGATGTGATTATGTTAGTCGAGCAGAGATCAACCGACGTATGCAAGAAGTTTTTCGAAAAAGCAAGTCCATGTTTGATTAAATATACTAAAGGATAAATTCATTTTGTGTTACAATACGTTTGGCAAATGAGCTAAACGAAATTATCCACTACAAACTATTAAATATCTAATGTATAAAGTTTAAATGTTGGTGGATGAAGTGATATATTCTGTGCAAGCTGCTAAACTGCTAGGCGTCTGAAAGATATATTCGGAATTGCAGCGTAGCTGTAGAACTTACTTTTTGATAATTATTAAGTAGATGACATGAGTTGAATATGACTGTATAGGATTAACTTAGTGTTGCACATCCATTAGGATTACTTACCTTCTGAACAACTTACTTTTATTGAATCATGCATGACTTGTATTGATCGGAATCATACGATGCTTTCACTTGACCACCTGTGTGCTCAAAATGAGACTCATGCTTTGAGTGCACTGGTTAAATCAAGTTTGCTTCATACTCGATATGAACAGTTTTTTAACTGTTAAATTTTCAATTGAGTCTGCCGATTTAGAGTTACGAAAGCCCGATGCACTTTGACTTGCATGATGGATACCATCTGCTGACTGTGTTGTTTGAACTTCGCATGACATTTTGCCTAACGATCGTCTGTATTCTAAAAACCGTTCCTGACATGCGGTTTACATGTGATGTCAATTCTCAACGCTTTTAACAATATGGTATGATAATGCTTTTTAACTTGGTACTTAATTGTCACCTGAAATAAACCCAAGATTTGAACATGCAGAAATGTGCGCTTCTAAACCGAGAAGAGTATCACAATTGCTCTATAGTCTGTCCTCAGTAGATTTAAGCTGAGCATTTAAAGATGTCACTTAGCTGGGTACAGCAATGTTTGTGCGATTTCCAGTTCGTGATCAAGCATCCAACATTCGAGCATTTTGTTATCCGTCAACTGATGTTCAATAGCTGACGCCATGTTTGACATAGACTTATTGCTTTCACAAACCATTCACACAAGCCGTGGACAACGAACTGCTGATATGGTTTATGTGTGCCCTGGCCCGTGCTCATAGGTTAATCAAAGAAACTATAACTAATATGCCTTTAGTTTACACCATGTTATTGAGGAAAGCGAAATCACATCATTATAGCCCAAACGCTTCTTGCTTCATAATTTCATCTCTGCAGACCACAGATGTAATTTTGAACGTGAGTAATTTATTTGGTAATTTGAATTAAGAATTCTAGCAAAATGGTAAACTTTGTCAAAGATCATAACTATATACGTGTATTTAAGATGCGTAGCATTTGTTATCAATATCCATAATTTTTATCCTGGAAACAAATTATTCAAATGGACACAAAGTATTTCCATCGATCGACCCAATTGGTGCCTGGCTTTTCATTGCAGTCAACAACAATATGCCGGCCGGAGTTCCTGGAGGAGGCTGTTCTTAATCGTCCGAACTTCGTAGCGAGGATAAATTTACTAATGCAAATGGAACGGGATGAAACATGGGCGCCGGAAATGCTAGCCCTGTCGCTAGCCAACAGGTTGAAGTGGAGTAGATACAGCTGCAGGTTTCCTGTACAAATACGGCAAGAAATGGCTTCTTATGGTATGCGCACATAATAAATTCTTACCATTTCTTCCTGCAAATTATTTGCACAACTGATTTTAAAATGCTGTAAGCACATTTGCAAATGTTGCCTCTTAAATCGCATATATATGTATTCTAAATGAATAAAACACCGTAAGGTACACATACCTTTGAAGATTTTGTAACTAAACTGTATGCGCTTTAATTACTTTGTACAAAACAAATTAAAAAGTCTGCTTGCTTTCTCATATTTAGACGACTGGTGTCGGCGAGTCAATATTGAACTCAATTTCCATAAGCATATTAGTGAAATCTAAACAAGTCGCTACCACTAGATGCGCACTGATATTGTTTTGAAAGAACCACTTACACAGTCTTACAAAACTATGTATATACATGTAAGCAAATGCCTGCGTGTGTATAAATATTCCTAGGTTATTGAGGATGTTACCAATCCAGACAGTATACACTTGCCGAGGATTTTAATGAACAAACGTGTATTCTATCAGTATTTGCTAGTACTGCGAATCCTTCTGCTCCGATATTATTTGAAACCGTGCCCACTGGTGGCTTGCACCAGCATCTTAAAACACTAAGACACAGTCAAGTATTACGAGAGAACAAAACAGCTGTCTGGCGCTTGACCGACTATGTGAATATCTATATAACTTGGAATTTACTGCAAATACCGGGAGTTGTTTCCATGGCAATCTGATTATTCACTTGGGCAAATACATATATATGGGCCAGAAACTCATATTCCTTTAGGTTAAGAACGTTCTGTTACGTTCTCTTAAAGTTGATGCCTTTGGCGCCTAACGTTTATAGTTTATAGCCTTTTCAATGCGCTAACGTATTTCACATATCATGACTATGCAATGCAAAATTCAAGTGTCTAGAAATGTGCTGTAAAAGAACGAGGTTTAGTTACTGTATTATCATCTTGCACCTATGGTGAATAATTGGTTAGTTTCAAACACTTGTAGCTGCTCAGCGCTCCCTTGACATTATAAAGTCTGCAATTATATCAGTAAATGGACGGCCTTGCTACTGTACATTCGATTCTCTAACGAGGATAGCTGACTGAATGGACCCGAAACAATCCATGAATCATTGTGAGTCAAAATAGAAGTTAGCGTGTCTAAGCGGAGAGAAATTTAATGGAAGATAAAGCAAAGTGTAGATATTGCACAGTAAACATCACTTTGTTCATTTGCAGAAAGTATCGGTGACTTTACTTTTGGAAAATCAGCATTAACTTAATACTTTTATCCAGCCTACGTTTGTCATTTGCGCTTCTGGTATGGTCTATCTGACACAACGTTCATTAGCTACATCGAGCCGAATACCATAGTTTGATCATGTCTTGTCCAAACCTATTACTAAGTATGAGTTACAAGTTGAAATATACCGCTCTGTCGTTATAATACGTCGCATATATCCAGATGCACAGGGTGTGCGTACGGGAAATGTATCCGGCATACGCAGTGCCGCACCAGTGAGCAGTTGACATATTTCTTACGACGACAATATTTTAAAAACACAAACGAGTTGAGGAGCACGCGGAGGGTACGTAGAGTTTGTACCTTGTTTCCTGAACACGCCCAGCTATGTTTACTGCTTGCGGATAAAAGCTGCTGCTAGCAAAATACCAAGCATGTTTCACCACTATCCATTGAATGATGAAAAACACTAAATTGTTATAGATACTTTTAATCAGTGCAATGGAAAGTATTGTTTGAAACGCTGGCATCTATTCAGTTACTTGCATGTTCGTTAACAGTCACGCCGATCATTTTTTAAACTTGTTCCCAGGCACAATGTGACTGTTTTTGCTAGTTCACATACACACTGGCCAAACGAAGTTAAACGAGCATATCTAGTCAGGTTGGCACTGACATTAACCCTGGGTACAAGAAACGTATATTGGCTGTTTAAGTAACTCATACACCCTATATATTTTTCCACGCAAGAGCTTGGCATTAGGTACTCGCCTACCTTCAATTTCTCCTAACTGGCCCAAGACAACGTAGCACGTGCCAGACAGTTTATGTTCCATATATCAAAAAAATAAGTACAACTAGTGCTAGAGTTGAATTTTTCAAGCTAATCACTTGCCCCATCCTCGAATACTGCAGCATAATATACGACAATATGATAAAGAGTGACCGAATTGCTGTGGAGCAACGGTAGAGGTCATTCACTAACAAACTGAATGGTAAACACTCCGCTGTGAATTATGGAGAACTTTGCATTGAATTTCATTTCAAACCACTTTGGATTGGACGGTTGAAGAACAACTTGTTCCTGCTTTTTAAGCTGTTACACATAAGGACCCGTTCCGATCTGTCTATAGGCAAGGTACTACATAGCTCAACTCGAGCGCTTGGCAACAAAAATTTTACACTGAATATACCGAACGTTAGAAGGAAAGTTCGCTCTAATTTCTTAACGGTCAGATATACCTAACTGTGGAAATAGCTACCAATAACCCTCAGGTAATATCACAACGTGGCAACATTCAGAAGCAGTGTCGCCAGTTATCTTGATCTAACTACCCTACGCTCTATATTCACATGGGAAAAATCCCTTGATGAGCTATTACAAAAGGGGCCCAAAAACATATAAACACCAATGTTTTCATAACTAGGCTTTGGCCTCAACCATTCGGCTAAATGTTTGTACATGAAACGCATATCACATTAATCCACATATACATGTCACCCAAGTAGGCGCATGGATTCTTCTGTACAAATTCACCTTCGACGCTATAGACTTAGGTTCTCTCATGAAGAGAAATATATGTATTATTAATATTATTATTAGTTGGTGAACACACGTGACACTTGTTGCAGTGAGATTCATCAACACACGTGTGTATCGTTTCTTTTCAGTGCCCTCTGAAGCGGCTGCGCAAGGAGAAGACTTCGGTGAGTGAAGCTACAGTACGGTTGGCTGAATCTGTTCGCAATTCACAGCACAGCTACTATAATCCACGTTAAGTCAATCGAAGTCGAAATAATTCCTTCACGATGTTTACTCGTTGGCATACGAGCAGACTGTATATTGGATAACATTTTGTAGCCGACTTCCAGTTTTATCTATTTGCCTACTTAATTCGATCTCGCCAAGCTCCTTTATCACCTCTTTTCTACTGCGCTAGAATATCTGGTGACCTTCATTAAGTCAGCACTTAGGATACCAAAGGCAAAGGTGTTGTCCGAAGAGGAATATTGCAACACTGTAAGTGGTTGCAAAGTTGTACATACAATTTCAATATAAAAGCTGGTTGGCACCCAAGCGCTTAACTAGCTTGTTAAACAAATACCTTTATGTTCGATGAAAACGACTGAGGAGCTGCATCATCTCACTTTTTCTCTTGCACACATGCAGCTCGTTGAATTAGCGTCGGAATTTATACGGACATGTCATGTTTTCAAGCTGCAGGAGTACCATGGAATAGCTGAAGTTTTAGTTCGCAGAACAAACGCATCCTTCTGGGAAGTACAACGTCAACTTATGTTGAAATTGAATTCAAAAGACAGAGACAATTGCCATTTCAACGTGGAAGCCAATTGGGTACCCAAAGGTTATTAATTAGAAAATCAAAGTCGTTGTTTGAAATTGCTTTTGCTCGGAATCAAGGAAAAATCGCAAGACTAAATGCAATCACGTGTTGTATTTTTAACTTTCTGCTTATACACTTGCAAAATGCGCATTTGTTTACATGGATGGAAATGTACTTGTTACGTTTGCGCTGACAAATTTTAATGAGTACAAATCTATCACAAATGCCCACAATTCCATTCATGAATATTGCTGCAAAATGTTATTAGTTCTGGGATGCTAATTCACCTAGCGGTTGCAAAAGTACGTCCTACTGCGTTATTCGCCTTTAAATCCGGCTGTACTCTCAAAGAGTCCTAGATATTTTCATTCGATTTGGCTCCGTGAGCTCCTCCTACCACTGTTCACCTTTTGGATCTATCATCGTGAATCATCAGCAACTTGTGCTATTACAATTTCGAAGTCAACCGTGCTTGAATGTTATCGGATGATTTAGTTTTCCTGCCATCACATAAAATCCCGTGATCTTATTTTCAAAGTGATAGTTGTCAACTTGATCCACCCCTGGAACTGCCACTGTCATCATTAGACAGTATTTTCTAAGTCATTTTGCTTTGCCCTAATGCTACACTATATCGTTGCCTATCCACTTACCGGCTGGATGGGTAGCACGCACGCATAATTATGTGACTCATCTAGACGCGACACGTTTGACCCCTCTGAAGCGCAGGAAGCAAATATCTGACCGTAAACCAGCGCCGCTTGTCACGCAACGCAAAGTGAAGCGACGTCATACACGGAGCGTCAGTATCTCTGTCCTCTTGCTACTCCTGTTGTAGTGTACGTATCCATTTGCTCAATTCCACCTAGTTATTGTGGACTCTCTACACCGAATCAACACCATCTGCAGTCAAGTCTATTTCACTGACCCATTACTGACGGCGACCACATATATCAGTAGAATTATTCCATCCTAACCTAGTAGACAACTAGATAAGTGAGACATCTACAACCTAGATTCTGAACTCTCTCTCTTATTGTATCTAATCATTTTTGGAATTGATGCAAGTCAGGATGACAAAGTGCACGCCCCCACTGGACGTGGCCCCTTCGACGTCAATGGTGATCTATGTGTAAAAAGCGTTAAGTCTGGTGCGGTTTGCTTAAACTCTCAAAAACCGTACAATTCGAATTGTTTAGGGATGAGTGCACTCAAAACTAGACAATACAGCAACAAAACCGAAGCATTTTGGTTCTGCCAGTTGTGCAAATTCATCCTTGTGGTTAGTTGTGTAACGTTCCTAATGAAAAACTGTGAAAAGTTGGCGGAAACAGTTGATCAACTTGTGGACGCTAGCAATGCATCGGTAAAAGTAAACATTGCTACACTTGAATCTGAACGTACACCTACAAACCCCTCGTCTAGGCCGAAGAAGATGGCCAGGCGTCCCAACCTCAACACAGCTGCTCAGTCTCCAACGGCCACTAGCAAAATAACTCCATTATGTGAACAAGTCGTTTCTAAACCATCCGCTTTTACTTTCTTCAAAGGTTTAGTAATTCAGTTGACATACTCGAAACACAAAACTCCAGCAACCCCAGGGTAAAGTATAACTGGATATTCTACACAGTGGGTATTTCTAGGAAAACACCATCAAAGACACCGGCAACGAGGAAACAGTGCCTCAACATGGATCGCTATCGCCAGTGCGATCCACAAATCCACAAAAAGACAAAAGAACCTATTGCTCTTAAGCCGCGAACCACATACCGTAATCATGGTGCCTTAAGTCTTGTGTGCGCTAACGCTCCTGAACACAAATCCAACAAAATAAGGGGTAGACTTATAGACGATCGTAGTCAGTGGGATTCCATCTGTAGTGCTATCAGCATTGGCGCTTAAACCACTACGCGTGGACGCATCGCACGACACCCGAACTCTTTACATTATGGTGAGCCTTGACTAACTAGAGTAATTTAAAATAGTTAGTTCCCTTTAGTAACTTGAAAAGCACAAGTAGAAGACGAAGTTCGGCAGATGCATGCATTTCGTATCGTCTCATCAGTGCCGATAACGATAACCGGTAATGTTATACAACAGTTTGTGGGTACAGACATACATACAAACAAACGCGAGAAAAATGGGGTGTATTTCTTCTACAACCAGGGCAGCCTGAGGCCGATGGATAATTGTTTTTGAACACAAAGCACTGGCCTAATCCGACTAATGGCAATCGCTTCGGCAAACCGGAGGAACCGGGAATTAGTATGGCGAAGCAGAATTCGAAACGCCTTGTTGACCTCAATTCGGTGACCCGATATCAATAAGTGCCTGCCGATCGAAGATGCTGGCGGCTTGCGTACACACGTAGTCTGATTTGAGCTTGCTTGCTGACTAAGCTCGCATTGAACCCATTTTGGTACGTGCTCCTTTATACGGGAACGCAGTGTTCTATTGGTTCTGCCTATGTAACTATCCTCGCAGTTACATACGAATTGATTTACGCAGTGGGAGTTGGTGCCAATAGGCTGAGTTTCTTTTAGTGAAGGCAACGGTAGCTTATGAGTTCTGTCAAGGAGTACAAATTCGGCAGCAAGAAAGTGCTCCGTGTGGAGGAAATGAGACCTCTTATAGTCCTCAAGAAGCAATGTCACCCTTAAAGGGTAGCTCTAAGAATACCTTTTCATTAGGCACAATAGGTAGAGCAAGTTTCTTTTCACTGATTTCGCTGTGCTTTCGGAGAAAGTTTCGAGGGTAGCCGTTAGCTGTGAATCGACACCACAGAACATCAAACGGAGTATGTATCTTACCGGATATTCCATAGGTAGAACGTTCAAAGTATATAAACAATCAACAGGGAAGTAGAAAACATGAGCCGAAAATCGTCATTTTTTTGTGGCGTCCCTGAGTCTCAAGCTTTATCTGCTGAAGAAGATAAAGCACATGACCTGGAGCAATGGCGATACATTCGTGAGGCACTGTCGTTAGAAAATGTCGTTACTACCTTCCTGACAAGGATTCACGTGTCGCCAAATTAAAAAGAGTGTTGTCCTAGTTTGCTGAAGTTTGTTTTACAGTTTGAGCTAACTTTACACACCGTTCTAGTGAACTGGGGTAATTTCCGGAACATGCTGTCAACATAAATTCAACTAAACGCAGCAGGTTTACGACCAGAGGCTACTGGTTAGTTTATGGTGAGACTCAGCTCAGTAGGAACACCAGTTGCTGCAGAGTGCACCCCAGAAACTGATCTGACAGCCGTCATAGCATACGGCGAAACACCGCAGAAGGTGAGTGACCAACAGGATCATGAAGTATCCCATTGCGTGGTACAGAGAGTTGTTCCAGGTCATTCGCGCGAGCCGAGGACTATTCAAAAAATGAGTAGCATTCGACCTCAAGCGGGTTGGCTAAGTTTCATACTTGTTTTCTACATTCACTAACAACCTTCTCACATATGAATTACTCTCCTGTTTTTATACCAACCGTCAAGGTCTTTCAAGCAAACTGACGGAGCTTCTCCTGTTTGAAACCTCGATGTCAAGAGACATCGGTTTGATAATCGAGACCTGGTTGAGCGAAGCGATCACTGCTGCTGAAGTCGCACTACCTTGATCTATCCTGCGCAACGGTCGACCTAATAGAGGAGGTAGAGTATTACTTTATTATCGCAGCGAAGTACAACTTTATCCCATTGAGGACCCAGAGGTTCAGATGGTTTTGCTTCGGTGCCATCATCATCTAAGCCTTGGGGTCGCATATTTCTTGGGTGTCGTGTATCGCAGTCCGTCAGCTACTTTGGAAATAGACAACTGCCTAGCCTCTACCTTGAAGATCATTCTCACATTGTCGTACAGCCCCATTCTCCAGGGTGGTGACTTAAATATTCACGCCATAGAAACCCCAGCCCGTACAAACGAACACAGCAAGATGGAAGTACAGGAGATAATTAGTGGATATCACTCTACAATCACATCGCATTTCTTACAAGATTCAGGATGGGAAACAACCCGGGTGTCCTGGATCTCGTATTCACTAACGAAAAGCTTATGATCGAAACGGTATCGCTAGAGAGCATTTGGGCAGCAGCGACCGTGCAACACTTATGTTCAGTTACGTTTGGTTTGCAGAGTAGTCCACGGCAAACACGGTGGACTGTCATCTCAATAAGAGTACCGCGTTTTAATTCAACATATAAATGCTACAAACTGGGCAGTTCTAATAGAACGATCCCCGATGTCAGATTTTCAGATTTTGCGCACCGATTCAAAACGTTCATAACTGGTGCTTCTAGGAAAAGGCCTTCGCTAGTGAAAACAGTAAACTCATTCATACGCAGCAGGACACTGAAGTTTATCAACACAAGGAATTTACTCTGGCGAAGATACAAGGTGCCACTGAGTGCCAAAACTTGGGAAGGCTTCACTATCCAAAGAAATCACAACTTTAACCCTTTTACGCGTAGATAAAAAGCATCATCAACAGACTCTAGCTGAGAAATATTTTTCAAACCACAAGCTCTTGCACAGATACCTAAATAAGCTCCGCAAACTACAAGGAGGAATTCCTGCCTTACACGCGTCATGTGGACTCTTAAATACCCCAACCGTGGCGGCCAAGCCCCTATGTCAACAATACGCCCCAAACTTCCAGAACACGACATCACCGCATACACGGTGCCCGCACATTGTACCATTACCAGGATTTAGCCACATCACGTTTACGACTACGGATGATATGAAACGGTTAATTGCCCTGCGCGAGCATACTTCTCCCCGCGTTGATAATATTCGTCCAAAGGCCTTGAAATTGGCTGCGGTAAACTTGGCGGATCCACTCTCCAAATTCTTCCAACGATGCCTCGATGAGATGCGGGTGCCAACAATGTGGAGGCAGGGAATCGTCGCTCTCATCCAAAAGGGGGAAGTCGTACACATCCGGTCAAATATGGCCAGATAACAATACTTTCGATGTTCTCCAAAATCATGGAAGCGATTGTTACCGAAGCGCTCATGAACTACTCGGAAGA